AAAAGGAATGGAGGTTTTTGCTTCCTGTTATATGTATAAAAATCCTACAGTCATAGACAATTAGTTACACTGATTTGCTTGTAGAGGACCTGCCCATATATTTTATCAAAGTGTATTATGTTATTGTACCATATTTCATTACTTTTCTAGGTTTAAAATGTCTGAAGTCCATTTTCTATTGCTTTACAATGCAAAAATTTGGATCTTTTCATAAAGAATAAATACTTTGTTTTAATAGAATTTCATGTATATTTAAAAGAACGATTTTGGTCTGTTTTGACTGCAACAGATTTTACAAAAGATTTTCAAAGACGTCTTTTTTTTGTGATACTCCTAAATTATATTTTTATGTGTCATTTTGCATGTTAAGATATGAGAAGGCACATAAACAAAATAACGGCATAATGAAGCTTTTGAAGAAAATTATTTTCTTTCTCACTGAAAAAGCAGCCCATTTTAAAATTTTGCTTACATATGCTGTCCCAGAAGAAAAGAAAGAAAATTCAAGATAAATTCATATTTAAAGTATAACTTGAGTAATGCATTGCATAAAATGTATGAAATGACTATAAATACCTTCTACAATTTGAAATATAAAAAAGTCAACTGAAAATTGAATAATTGTAATAAATTTGGATATGAGCAATCGAAAAAAGGGAGAACTGTATTAAAAACTAGCTATTTCAAGTTATGGTAATTTATTGTTATAATTACATAAATGAATAATATGTTAAGAATAGAGTAAAGTAAGGAGTAATGGTTTAGAATCAAAAAACTATTTTTACCTTTGAATGATTGTTCCTTTTACCTCTAGATACAAGAAAAAGCGAAGGCTACAATTAAAATGAATGAATGTAATATTTATTATTATTATATGGAGTACTACAGTCAAAAGTCGTTAATTCGGACACCCATAATTCGGAATGATCTATAATCCGGACCTCAAAACTAAAACCTTTCTGCGCATGCGCCGCGTTGACACATGCGCATAGGCGTTTACGCGTGCGCGTAAGACCTTTTACGACTGCTCATATGAGTGTGCGCAAGTGCAGAATACGTTTTCGCGTGCGCGTTTTATGTATAATGGACGTATAAGCTAAAATTATCTAATTATCTATTTCAGTTAATGTTGATGATTGCGTTGTTCCTTAATTTTCAAATTGGATCCGGCTTATTATTTTTTGCAGACTGTAAGAGCAATTTTATAAAAGTAAGCTTAAACTTTCGATTATATCAAATAGAATTTCCAATATATATTTGTTAATATGTAAAGGATCTACAAAGCGAAAGTATGTTTTCGAAATCCGAAATCTGTCTATCAATTTCACGCTGCTCGGCGGGGGATCGCCGCGGCGGGCGCGTAATGAATTGGAAGTTGATCTGTCAACACTATCCTTATCTTCAGCGCAGATGTTTTTATTTTATTTGGCTTATAATTCCTTACCAAATGTAGTATTTCATCTCGATATGCTCCGTCTTTGATATGATTTTAAAACAAGTTCCTCGTCATTATAATTCGCTTCGATAGCGAAGAAAGTGACAGAGGTTATTGAAAACGAAAAAATTTCGATTGACAAATTAATCGGTGTTTCTAGACACAGCAATTATAGGACTTGAACAGCGGAACTTTGTAACTGAACAAGAAATTATGTCTGTTTAATAGAATTAAAGAGAAAGTATTATCACATAAAAACGAAGCAAAACTTAAACAACTTACATTGAAAGAAATGTTTAATAAAGTAAACAAATAAATATTAAGCTTTTTTTCTTTTGCAAATTTTGATACCCTTTAGATCATAATTGTTCTTTATTTCATAAATTACGGTTTCATATTTTTAATTTTAGAATTTCTGCATGCCATCTTACGAGATTTAAACTGATGATCTATAATCCGGAAAAATCGATAATCCGGAATCGCCGAAGTCCGGACGAGTCCGGATTAACGACTTTTGACTGTATTAAGGAGTAATGGTTCAAAATCAGGACAGTTTTTACCTTTGAGTAATTGTTCCTTTTACTTTTGCATACAGGAAAAGATAGCTACCATTAAAATGAATGTCATAATTTTTATTAAGAGTATTTTTTAAAAATTTTATTTGGAATGTTTTAATGCAATTATCAATAATCTTTAAAAGAATTGAGATCTTTTAAGAGGGCTCATAACTTATTTATTTTAAAAGCAATTACTTCCAACCTTTTACAGCTGATTACATAATATAGCTGCTTTCTGAAATAGTAATCAGAAAGTTTGTGTTGCCACAAATATTTTTATAATTTAATCTGCTTTGTGACAAAAATTTTCGTCATGTTTCCACCTTGCGTGCGCAGTTTAAAACATTCTGTTGCATAATTTAATACCATATTTAATATATAGCTTTTATAACATTTGGAAACTACTGTGAACCTAAAAATCTAAAAATTTCATGTTAAATTTTTATTTTATTTTGAGTTGAGTTTATAAAATGTATTTTATTAAAAAAATCTGTAATGTTTTCGTCCATAAAATTTTTCAATATTAAAATATTCGTCAGATTTTTGGTTCAGTTAGAAAATAGTGCCTATATAAAGAATTCCATCCAATTTCAAGTATGTACCATTAGCCCATTTTTAAAATATCGTGCGCAAGGTGGAAACATGCCGAAATATTTTGTAACAAAGAGGATTGAATTACAAAAATGTTTGTGGCAACACAAGCTTTCTGGTTACTAGTTTCCAAAGCAGCTATATTATGTAGTCAGGTGTAAAAGGTTGGAAGTAATTGCTTTTAAAATAAATAAAATATCCCAATTTTTTCAACAGTCGCATATTCGAAGATCATAAGGGGTTTAAAGTAACTCCTGAAGCATCCTACAACCACTTGTGAAATAACACATTAGTCAGGCAGAGACTACCCAATTTTTATATTGGAAGGTTTTGAAAATTGTAGAACCTTCTGTTTGTATAAAGTAAGAAAGTGAAATGAATGTGAAATATAATCAAGGATAAAAACTATAATTTCAGTAAAATACTATGATATTTACGGTGTTAAAAGGCAGAATATAAATCTGAAAACTAGAATATTATACTTTTTTTGTGATTTGTTATAATGTATTGAAATCAGAGCTTGATTAACTCTTAATCAAAAAAAGCATGTGCTTAGGGTATCAAGGATAGGGAACGCGCACACACACACACACACACACACACACACCACACCCACACACACACACACACACAAAAAAAAAAAAAAAAAAAAGTCCTTGAACTCATGGAGAAGGGACACTACCAAAAAATCTCACTGTTGGTTTTACCACGGAATGCATGGTGCAGCTAAACCAAGACCAGAGAAGAGAAATTTGATAAAACAGGTGTTATGTAGTAAATGTATCATGTCAGGGCCCCAAAATCTTTCAAGTGCTTAGAGTCTGTAAAAGTCTTAATCCAGCCGTGGTTGAAACAGGTTGATATTTTTGGTATTTTATTATGAAAGTGAGGAAATTTTGGAAGACTTCCCTGAAGAATTATGACATTATTTTGAATATACAAAAGCAAGGGCTTTTTCAGATTGGACTGAAAATAAAAATATCAGCAAGCTTATATAGGTTGTGTTTATTTTCAAAGCTATAATGCTCAAAATTTGTATGTTGCATTATTTAAAAATTATTATTTAATGCAAAATTTTGTGGTTTGTTTTCCCATATTGTTATATTTCTCTTTATTTTTGAACAACTTTTTCTATAAAAAAGGCTTTTTTTCCATAAACATACCTTATTCTCTTTTAGAAGGGGATAAATACAGGGTGTTTATAAAGTCCTGGGCTCATTTTGATGTTTAATAACTCATAAAATAATATAGATTAAAATTAATAACATAAATGGTTAGATAGACTCAAAAAGTTTCGTGACCTTTGTCAATGAACTTCCACGTGTGCCCTCTTCGTCGCACAGAGAATATCAAGTTGATATTCAATTTCACGCCAGGACCGGCAAGCATGTCAGCATCCACAGAGGCTATTGTGGTTGTAATTCTAGCTTTAGGTCATCCATGTTCGACAGTCTCCTCCTGTAAATGTTGTTCTTTACAAATCCCCAAAGGAAAAAGTGAGGTGATCAGATGATCTGGGTGGCCAAGGAATTGGACCTCCTCGCCCAATCCATTTCCTGTAAAATGGTTATTCAAATAATTACGAAAGATGCTACCCCAATGAGGTGGTGCACAATCTTGTTGCAAAAAACATGTGGCTGAAGCTCTTCTAGTTGTGGAAATACAAAGTTTTTCAACATGTATATATACGACTGATGAGACTGTCTTTTCTGTAAAAAAGAAAGGCCCAATGACTCGGTCATGCATTAGTCCACACCACACATTAACCTTTGGGGAATCCTTTTGAGCCGCATGATATTCATGGGGGTTTCCAGATCCCCATATGTGCACATTATGGCAATTACCAATTCCAGAAAGATGAAAGGATGCCTCGTTGAAGAACATTATGCGCTTTTAGATTATGCAGATGATATTTGGAAAAGTACAGATATTTAGACTGGAAAATGAAATTATGTGAAATTAACCACACGCACAGACGATATTTACAAAAGTAAATATATTCAACCTGAAAAGGAAAATATATAAGTTATTCCATCAATAAATGCCATAAGTTTGTTTGTATCGTCATTATTTTATAAGTTATTAAATTGGGTGCGGGACTTTATAAACACTGTAAGATGAAATACAAACTTTAATCTGCAGTTGTCCCATAACTCCTTTTTAATTTCCTTTTTATTTTCTATTTCCATTCTAAAAATATTAATTGCCTATAATAAATCTGCATCACTTCAAAATAATGCTTTCTTGCATGATTCTAACACAGTGTTAATGCTACAGCATTTGTGTAATGCTTCAACCAATCAAAGTATTTTCAATGAAATGAAATAAAGTTTCTTGGGGAGGGTTGATATGGGATCATTATACTTTTTTTTATCAATATTGTATTAAAAAAATAATAATCAGTTTCCTTTTTATAGGTGACAAGCTGAAGCTCTTACGGCAGCTGCTTGTACATCTGTATTAACTTTCTGCATTTGAATCTGCATTTGTATTTAAGGTGAGAGAAAATTTTCTATACTAAGAGAAATACTTAAAGGGATTTCTTTAGCCAAGCTTTAAATGGGATTAAGTAATTTTTGAACCATGATTTCACTGTAATGTTTGCTTGCTAATCATGTATTAAAACATATAAATTCTGAAATGAATGTGACATTTGTTAACCCGTGAGCGAGCGAGCGCCCGATTAAAGAAACCTTTCTGAAAACACGGCTATTTTCCCCAAGTGGTTGTGGTTCAGTGTAGTCTCCTCCAAGGCTCTCTCTCTTTATGTTCCAAAGTTTTTCGCCGAAAATTTTATTCGAAGTTTTGTTTTAATCTGATTGGGTCTTTCAGACCCATTGCGCCTATTCACATTGCTGTAAGGTAATTCACTTGTGGTAGCATAGAAAGCTGCAAACGTGGCGTAATTTATCCTATAAGGAAGAAATGTTACGTTTGCAAAAATTATTTGATTTATCAACTGTTGAAGACTCCATTGAAGAAACTGATGATGAAAGTTATAATGAATTTTTTAGTTCTCATGATACTGATTCAGAAATTGAGATGCATTCTGAAAACGAAAATGAGAATGACATTTATTGCTTTATTGGAAAAGGCAAAAACCCAATGGTAAAAAAGTCTAAAGTTTTTATAAGTTTTCATAAAGATGTCTATGTTTTGATGACATAGGAACTCGCATCATCCAGAACGAATCAGATAAACTTGCACCTATAACAGAGTTTTTTGAAGATTTTGTGAATGACTGCCAGCAGTATTACGCTGTCGGTGAGTTCATAACAATTAATGAAAAACGTGAAGCCTTCCGATGAAGATGTTCTTTCAGGCAGTATATTCCTGATAAATCTGAATAATAATATCTGAACAACCTAAATAAAAGTATAATGAATTTCTAATCAATTCGATATTAATATAATACGCTTTTCTATTCCTTTAAACAATTTTATATCATAAAAATATTATAGAAATTAAAAATTTTATTTTTATAGTTTGCATAAGTTTGATCATAAAATTTTGGCAATGGTGTAACACTTTTACCTGAAGCGTAAGTTTTTTCTTCAAAAAACACGAGCCGAGTTTTTTTGGACCCAGGGCGCGTGCTCGTGTAACTGAAAAGAGTGTGCCGTGCTCCCAGGCTTAAAAAGTTAAAACCTTTTGAGTTTTTAATCACCTGCAGCTGTCCTTTGTCAAAAATAGGAAGAATGGTAAAAGTAATTGTGTATGCTAAGAAAAGAGGAAAACCCAGAAAGCTGCATTATGAAAAGCTCATTAAAATGGAAAAATGAAAAGGAAAAAGAGAAATAACTGATGTTATGAAGAGTAAGAAAACCTAGCTCGGAAGTAAATTCCAAAAGGGTTGTAATCAAGCAGGAAAACTTGATAACAAATCTTAGAACAAGAGAAATATTATGAACACTTGAAAATGACATCAGTCATTAATGTCATGTAGAAAGTAAATCATACAAGATAGCTGTAAAAGAAAACAAACCCAGCAAACTAAAGGAGAAAGTAATAATGTCTGCAATTGGCATTCATTCAGTGAAAATTTTCTGTCAATTTTAGAAGTTTCCTTAGAAAAAAGCAAAAAGTTTTCATTAGTATTTATTCTTTAGGATGATTACGGTTTAGTCAGAGTCTACATTTGCAGCATGTTTCGTTGATGCACAAAAACTTGTTTTACCATTTTTATTTCAAATGCTACAGTATTTGACTACAGTATTCAATGAACTGTTGAATGTGAGCATATGCTTCTCTTGGCTGATATTTAGCCTGAATTAAAATTAGAAAAATGACACCTGCTAGCAAATGAACTGAAGTGCCATTTCGTAAAAATTTAGAAAACAACTCTTGTAGATTACACTGATCATGCAAAACAGCTTATTTAACAAAAGTATATGAAGCTTTGTTACAGTACTTTGAATGCATAACAATTATTTGCTAAGTCTAATGTAGCTTCACACTATGTGCAAAGACAGTGTTTAGTTGAAAGGTGCAGTATGTCTTCATACCGGAAAAAGAGAGAGTTCATTATCTCTCATTCTAATTAATAAATTGACAAATTTTAAATTCAATTTTTTATGTCTAAAAATGTTGCTTATGATGTGTGTTAGATTAATTTCTAACATTGGTCTAACATACATATTTTGACACAATAAACCTTTTTCTGGAATGACTTGCCAATTTTTTCCATAATTCATATTTGCCCCTCAAATTATGTATATATTTTGTAAAAATTATACCAGCTATTTTGGAGATATTCACATTTAAAACAGCACCAAAAAGTTACACCTGGAGAATTTCAAACTTACAGTAACCTGACTCCCTCTCTTCAGTGCATGTCTACGTGCTAAAATCTTCTGAAACTTTAAAACTCAGTTTGTTTATTCTGCATTTTACTTGTAATTCTTTAAGAGGAATTTATAAAAAAGAAATTCATTCTTTTTTTAATATGATACTTAGAATCGTTTGCCATATCAAAGATTTAGAATTTGAATTTTATGTATGATTTAAGCATACCAGTATGGGTGAAAAGCATATCAATATGCATCAGACTATGTGAAGAGTAGATTTTAAACAAATCAGAGTACTTGTCATAGAAATACGCAATTTTCCATTTTGGAGATATGTCAGGCATGACAGGTTAAAAATCTTAAATTTGTTCCATGTTCATAGCTGCAAAATCATTCGTTACACAAGTTTTCATAGTTGGTGTGCAAAATTTTCCCCTCAGTATGTGTATAAACACATGTGTATAATAACAATAAACATAACAATTTCTTAGGATGATACTCTTAAGCAATTTACAAATTCTACATGTAAAATTTAAATTATGTAAATATCTACAGAATGCATTACTGATGTAACTTTACGGGTTACTGTAAAGCTCTTATGAAGCTGACATAAGTTTCAGTGCAAGAAGATTGTGTCATAGTGTTTGCTCGTAGAGCACTAAAAAAAGTATTCAGTGGAGGTTTGACTTTAAGGGGAAAAAACTTATATTTCTGGAAGAAAAATATGTATTTAAATGGGAGTAATAAATACATATAATTTGTATTTTTCATTTTAAAAGTAGATTAGAATATCCTAAGATTTTTAAAATAAATTTCTATAAACCGAATGTTTGAAAAGGCATTCAGTCCTTATTTTCTTCTTATACGCCTTTTCTATTACTCTACTAGCTACTTGCATGGCCAGCTGCCTAAAATAGTTATTATGAAAGTAATAAAATAACTAGTGATTTTAATTAGTCCAGCTAATGTAATTTTGTTATTTCTACTATTAATCATTAATAAACAGAGATAAAGAACTATAGTTATTGCTTTTAAATTGCATATTTTGTTTATCAATAATAGATTAAATTTGAAAGGAAAATTAAGCAACTTAAATTTAGCCGAATGGCAACACATTGTTGCATGGAGGAAAATATTTTATTTTATGTAGTGGCAACACATTCTTTTAAATCAATGAATTTATTGATTAAATTCAAAAGTATTCATATTACACTTTACTGAGGGAGTTGATAATTGATGAGTTTGTTAATCAAAATTGCAGTAAGTTCTCACAAAATATGAAATTAAAAAAATTAAAAATCTAGGTTTCAAAGTGCACACTTGCATGGGGAGGACTACATGTGTGCAAATTTTGGTAGTGCTGCATACCTCCATTTTTTAATAGTGCAAGATTCATTCATACATAAATACAGATTCCTCATTATTTAATAGAGATTAAGTGGTTAAAAAGAAATTGATTTGACATACTTTTAGTCGTTTTAAATTTAAATTTCGTGACTTAAAACTTGTAAAGATCTAAAATCCATGCAATTCTTGAACACAAATTGTGTGATTTTCTGGTCTTTTACTGTACCAAATAATTAAATATATGCACATTTCTAGCATTAGCTCTAAAGAGTAGTTCATATAATGTCCATGAACTTGATACATTATTAATACACACAAATGTGCAGATGAATGCAATCTTCAGGAAGAGATAAAAATAAAATGGTAATCATATTCCATAATGACTTCTTTAAATTCTGTCCTTAAATTACTAGTATCAGTTCAAGGGGAAAAAAGATTGATTGATTGAAAGTTCAGTTCTGTACAAATAAAAGAGTGACATTTTCACATTACATGTGTAATAAACTAATATTGCTTATAAATTTGTTCGTTATAACATTACTTTAGATAAAATTATAGAAGAAGAAGGTACTTACGTATCATCCCATTGATTTGAAAATTGGCTACCATCAAACCATGCAAGCTGGCAGAGATCCATTTCTTACAATAAAACATTTGTCAGTTTCTGCGCAATCCACCAAATAGCCATACTGCTATCTTCATTTTACATTGTGTGAAAAAGCTTTCATTGATTTTTACTGTTCTGTTATGTCTTCTGAATTTAGGGAAGCTCTGTTTAGAACACTGTGAGTATAAATTTGTCGTAGGTGATTATTTCAATTTGTTATTATGTCAGTCATATCCAGCATTTTTTTCCCTTATAAACTGATGTTAATTCTTTCAACCAGCCATAAATAAACCTGAGTACAGTCTCAAATGTGATTCTTCAATCCTTGAACTAAATTTTTTCAAAATGCAAGAAGAAAAAAAAATTTAGCTGTAACAATTAATTTATATCTTTGGTTTTAGAAACAAAAGGTAGCCTATTGAGAATCAGTCTGAAAAGAAAGCACATATGTTATGAGTGTGTTGTGACGTCGCGCTTATCCATAATTGGAACTAAATAAATTGCTTTTCTCCAGTTTCACGGTCAATAGGATTATACATAAGTACCAAGAAAAAGGATTCCCCCCCCCCATATTCCCAAGATATATAAAGCAAAATTAGTGTTTTCAGGTGCTGAAAATTTTTTAATCTGAAGATCTGCAGTTCACTTATAAACCATATGTAAGTATGGTAAAACCTATCACCATGGTCATCTGTTGAAGATTACTACCTTACTACTCTTAAGTGACCAGTGTTTCAGAGACTAATATTGAATACCAGAGATAGTCATGTTATCTAAGCAGACTTTCTCTTTCGAAGATCAAAATGTTCAAAAGCATGTTTTGTTATTTAAGCTTCACAGCTTTGCCACTTCCTGATTTAAAAGAGAAATGGTTTAAAGATACTAGACTAATAGTTAATCACAATGAAATGATTAGCTGGTTATTTGATTATAGTAAATCTGCTGTGAGCCATTTAAAGAAGTCTTTATGAGGAACTTTGTAAAGAAAGTTATGATTAATTCATGATACACAGGGTAAAAACAATCGAAAGCTTCTTACATTCATTCAATTCAGTCACCAAGAACAGAATACAGAACAACCAATAAATGAAGTGCAGTATGATGCAGCTTTAACTAGTAGGCCACTGGTAGATCACATTGAAATAGTAGCAGTGTGGATATGGTATTCCGGAGAGCTCCATTACAAAATTTTACCTGATTTATGTGATATTTAATATATTAGTTTTACAAAATCTTGCATGTCAAAAATATTTCAGAATTAAAGTGTTTGAACTCTTATCGTATATTTATTTTTTTATATCATGCTTGCATGCATTAATATCAAAAGCTTTTAAAACATGACCTTTGTTTTCTAATATTTTTTAGATTTATTATGAAGATAACTTGTGGAGTTGAAATTGCAAATCGCTCAAATCCATCTGTTTCTGCTCGAAACAAGTGCAAATATACTGTAGCTACTTTAGCATTATGTCATAAATCTAAGCAAAAGGAGTTCCAAAGCGATAAAGATGTGTATCTTATTCTCTGTACTCATTCAAATCCCAGGGGAGCAAAATACAAGGTTTGTCTTTAAAATATTATTTCTGTGTGCTAAAAATTTCGAAAACATTCTAGAGTACGAGTAGACAAATGAAATTAATTAATATAAATGTAGAAATTATGTACTTAATTTTGTTTTTGTATTACAGCTTCATACGATTTTAAGGAATATTAGATATGTAATTACTTAATTATTATATATATATATATATAATCTATTATCTGCAAGAATAATTACTTTCTAAAATTTTAACTGAACCGAAAAGTACATGTTTAATCATAAATGTTTCAGTGTCAGTATAACTGTGATTGAATTTTTATGTTTCTCTTTATTTGGTTTTAAAATGCAAACTAATTTATCTGAAAACTTTCATGTTTATATCCAGAATGATCTAAATTCTGGACTTTTAGATCATCAACAATCTTTTTAGCCCAAAGGGCTATTAATTTCGTTTTGCCATTTTGCATTGAAAATTTAAATGTTGCTTCAATTTTCAAATTGTTGCCACCAAATCACCTTGTGTTATATTTAAAGAAAATAAATAATGAAGAATCCGCATAAGTATATGTATGTTTCACGCATTATGATAAAACAGTGGTACCTAAAGACATCCAATTTTGAATAACGTAATCCTCCACTGAATATGGGCATCTGGAAGTTCTAATTTGGAATCTGTTTTACTATTGATTTCATATTTTGTTAGACATTAAAGAAGTTTTGATTAACAAACTGAATGATTTCAAAGCGAGGAATAGCAACACTGTACCAAAAAAAAAAAAAAAAAAAAAAAAATCTCCATTTATTTATTATTTCTAAAGATATGCTCATTTTAAAATTATTTTGTGATATTTCTGTTGAATTGAATTTTATGGTTTAAGTGCAAAAAACATGATATTTAATAAAGGTAATGCACAAAACGTAAAAAAAGTCCCTTTGGGTGTAATGTAAAATCTGAAAGCTTTCAGATTTTTTTTAATAAATTCTTTTGTATTCTTTAACCCTTTCAGGATGGGTGTCCCATATACGCATTCCCTAAGAACGTCTCTTACAGCCGGGCATCCCATCCACGCATCAGTAAAGATCGCATTCAGAGGACGGGTGATGCGTATACGCATTTTAAGGTGGAACGTTTTTCTGAAGGCCACTAGATGCCATCCTGTGTCCATTAATTTTGAAATGAACACAGTTTTAGGTTCCTGACCTTGAGTTTGATATATTCTGCTTCACTTTGGTATTTTACTCATCAGCTGTTCGAGGGTGCGGGGGCGGAGGGAAAGCGTAAACAGAGGTGGGCTCTTTAAATGGCTGCATGCTAATGAAAACATTCTCGTATCTGATTTATATCCATTTCCTTTTTTTATTCTATTTTTCCCTCTACTATGTACGGTCTTTAAGGGTTACTGTGCTGAGTTTTTTTACGTTTTGTATTGCCTTCAGATATACTATTTCCGTTTATTCTTTTTTTATTTAGGAAAGCCTCAACTCCAGTCTATTATGGTGGGAAGGCGCTATTTATTAGAGGAAGAATACCTTCATATGGTTAGTGAACCATTTAACTAACGCAAATGAGAATACTGATTCATTTTCTAAAGAGTTAAAAAGTGATGCTTTTTTTAAAAGTTACAAAGTGATACTTCTCTGTGCTTCGAGATTTACCACATTCATTTTCATTTTAAATTTTGTTACTTCTTACTGTAAATAGTCTTTATTGTGTTCTTTTTATTAATTTTTAACTCTATTGATGGATTTTATGAATTAAAACTTTGGAATAATTTTAATAGCACTTCCGAAAATTATTTTAGAAGATAAGCAATTTTTTAAGTATATTTTCATGTAAAATAAAGAAAAAAAATGTTTTAAAGGCTAATTTTAACATATATAATAGCTCAAGTATTAATCTAAAATGATACCAAAAATTACGATGCTAGAAGCGAAACTTTTGTTTTTCTGATTTTTGTTATAAAATTAGGCTTAGCGATGCAAAACCTCCATCCTGTACGGTGACTGCCTTCGATTCTCTTCTGTCCCACACGAGCATCTTAAACAAAGGTGCGCCATCGCGAAAAGGTTAAATTTGTGCATGTGATATTTTTCTCATAATAAAAGATGTGAAGTATCCCATTTCTTAATTTCACTTCGACACTTAATAAAGTAACTCCATATGGAAGAAACAGCCATTTATTAGCATAAATCTATTTAGCTCTGTAGCTGCCTTGAAACATCTTTGATTTTACACCTACTGAATAATTTATATCCCTGATGCCAACCTGGCAAATCATTATGTATTATTTTTTGCTTTCATGACCCATGACTATCAACATATGGCAGCTTGAGAAAGGACTCAGGTAGCAATGTCTAAACACTTTTTTTTTTTTTTTAATATTAGTAATTGAATATCAAAGAGTGTGATAATTGTAACCATTAACATAGTTAGACATTTTTCCTGGGCTGCAAAGTGTTTGAGTGTGTTGATGAAGAGAAATTTAACATAAGTTTCTTTCCGTATGCAAAAAATAAGATTTTGTAATTGATACTCATAAGGCAAAAGATTACATTTAGTTGTTATTTGAATATAGAATAACTGATTTGTTATTCAGTTACGCCCAAGGCTAATGCCAGAGCAGGTGCAGTCACATTGAGCAGCATGATTTAGGGAATTCAGAAATTTTAGAATTCAAAGAAACACCAAACAAGAAAATTAAGGGATAGAAAAATCTGTGGAATCTAGGAAAAGCACTGGGATGAAAGGTTTGGGGACGACAAAATTTTAAAAATTTAAGAAGGCACTTCAAAATTTTGGACTCGCAAGAATCTCAAGCACCAGCCCTAGATAACCTTCGAGTATATATGGGGATTTATTTATTTGAGACTCGGATAAGCCTTAAGCATGTACAAGAAATAGGCATAAATGTAATAAACAACTGAACTGATATAATTCGGGCTTCATTAGCGAACAATAGAAGCAAGACAAAATGTAGTGGAATACCATGCCTTTAATCACCAGTCACATAATACATTAACAGTATTGTGTAGCGTATGCTATCTAAGCTTTATGATGACAGCCACAAATTTGAAAGTTTTTAGATATTTCTAACAAAAAGTGAAAATTGATGGATTTTACGGAGAAGTGCTAATACAGTGCACTCCCGATTGTCCACAGAATTGGGTGGCGCGGCTGCCGCGAATAGCAAAAATCGCGGATAATCCAAAAAAAGCTAAAATGCGTATAGCAAAAGAACAAACAGTCATTCCAACTTTGAAAAATCGTTTTATGTACAATAAAATGTAAAATAAACAGCAGAAAATGTTTAACTAACGCTTAATATTTTAGCATATCACTCAAAACTAACTTAAAATGCATTTTGTTAATGAAAACAGAAAAGTGCTTTGTACTTACGAGAGGCGTCAAAGATACACAGAAAAATTAATACGTATGTACTGTTTTAATGCTGTAATGTATTATGTAATTACAAAAGCATAACTGTAAAACTACAGCTTTTTGAAGAAATCAATCATTTGTGTTTGCTTTGGAAGCATTTTCTCTTGATCCGAGATTTCATTTTTCGTAGCATAAGTTTCTCGGCCAACTCCGCGTCGTTTTGTTCTTCCAAATAGCTCAGCAGTCCATCGACTTGTTGCAAAGCCGCTTCGTGAGTCTTCCACATCTGCACAGTGGGCTCTTCTTTGCCTTCACTTCGCTCTCCTTCATTCTCGGTCTCTCCCCTTGCTTTCCTTCACAAGTTTCGTCATCTGTCAAGCATTCGAAGCCAGTTCATTGACGTCACACTCCAACCACTTGTTAATGCATCGACGTTCTCACCACCCGGAACTGATTTCACCATATCGGCAAGAGTTGCCGTAGGCGTGTCTACATCTTCATTCTCTTCTTCAAAACTCAAAGGGGTTAGGTTGTTGTTGTTGGCTTCAACATTAGGCAGGAGTTTTCTCCATGATTTTATGATGGTTGACGGTTTCACTGAGTCCTATGCAGATGCAATATCGTAGATGTTGTCCAAGATTGTGTAGTGTGTCCAAACCGTTTTCAGATCATAACCTTCCTCAATTTTGGTCATTAGCAGCTTGGTTCAGTATGTTCTCTTCATTGTTGCAATGACTCCTTGGTCCATGGGTTGGATTAGCGCAGTAACGTTTGGGGGGAGAAACTTTGCAAAAATTTGACCATCAGAAGACTTTAGCACGCTTGTTGCTGGGTGACAAGGTGCGTTATCGATCAACAGCACAGCTTTTTCAGGCAGGTTTTTCGATTTAAGATGTTTACGCACTTGAAGAACAAAGATTGTTTCGAACCATTCTTGAAAAATGTTTTGGTTCATCCATCCTTTTTTTGGGGGGTTAAAGTAATCAACGAGCAAATTTTCTATCTTTGAGCCTTTGAAAGATCTCGTTTTTTTTTGACTTTCCAATGACAACAAGTCTTAAGTTTATGTCCTTCAGTAGCATTACTGCAAGACATGATAGTGATCCTTTCCTTGACATGATACTGCTTTCTTTATGACCTACTTTCACTTTCAAATGCTAAAGTGCGTGTGGGAAGACATTTCCACAAAAGTCCCGATTTGTCGGCATTGTAAATTTGTTTAAAAGGTAGCTCTTCTTTTAAAACAAATTCTTCAAATTCATGGTGGAAATCGTCGGCTGCTTGTTGGTCACTACTAAGTGTCTCCCCATGAAGTACAGTTTCTCGAATTCCATGTTGGTGCTTAAAACGAGTCAACCAGCCAGAAGACGCATCGAAATTTCCTTTCAGACTTAACAACTCAAAAAAGTTTTTTGCCTTCACCGCAGTGATAGGATCATTTACAGGAGTACCCTCTTTTCGAACTTGAGCTAACCACTCTGTCAATGCCGTGTCTAGCTCATCAAAGGTAGAACCCTTCATAGTTTTTCGCGTTTTCATTGCAGAAGCACTGTCCGACATTGATGCAAAGTTCACCAATTTTGCCTTTTTGCTTTAGAATGTCACACACTGTTGTTTCCGTAATCCAATTCCATCTGCTGCC